TCTTTATCCCCATGTCCTTCTTGTGGCTTCTCTATTCCTTACACTTCTGTGGTTATCTTAGCTAACCACACCACCCTTTGTTTTGCAATGGTTCGGTACTTCCAACTGTTGCTTTCGTCTGATATCCTATCTAACACTATCCCTTTCCCAAACACATAGCAAGCCCATACCTATCTTTAGCTGAAGCCATAGCAAGCACATATCTATGAATCACATAGCAAGCACACACCCATCTTAGCTGAAGCCATAGTGAACACACATCTATTTTAGCTGAAGCAAAATTCTTTTGCTAAATTACTTACTACAACTCTGTGAAATTTCTTGCCTGAAGAGCAGTTGTTGTTGTAGTTACAATAATAATGTGCAACTGTAGGAGAAAAGTGAGGAAATGACAAAGCAATTCAAGGGCTGATGATGGATTAGAGTGGGGTATGGACAGATGAAAGCACTGCAAGAAATACGTCCTGCTTCTGCTTCTGAAAATATCTTAATTTGGAAACTTTTTATAGCAAAATGACATTGAGTTTAAAGATCCAGGGCAGAAATGTGAGGGTCTGATGCTTCAGCATTGTATGTTTCCAAGTTTTTTTACCTTTTCAGCCCAACTAGTTTAGAGTTTAGCTAAAGGAAATTTGCATTAGAGTAAGTCTTTATTAACCTAGTATCAAACACGTATGTATGACAGTGGTGTCAGATTGGAGAATGTGAAGGGGTTTTAATTTCAGTCCTCATACCTGTCGAGATGTTCTTCAAAGTGCAAATCTCTTACAGCTGAAGCACAGTTTTCCTGAGTCCGTGGACATCCTGAGCTGTGGATGTCTTTTACTAATTAGCACTTCTGGTGCCAGCTTTAGGACCTGCAGATGACACTTGCAAGCTTTAAGATTAAGTATTTAACTGTTGATTTTGGTTTTTTTTTCAGTAGTTGAAGGAGGATAGGGGAGGGAATTAGGCATTTCTGCTGAAGGAAATAATGAGGAAGAAAAGAGGATATGCATTCATAGGGGAAGGACAAGGGAGGATGAGAGGAGAGGGAATTACTGGTCCTGATCCTACCGTGCAGGGATGGGGTTAAGGCAGAGGGGCTGCTGTGTGTGTCATGTTTTTACCAGCTGTCTCAGGCAGTGAACTGCATTGTAAAGCTTGGGAGAAGTGAGGAGTGCCTCCCTCCTACTCGGTCGCACTTCAGCTGTTGCCTGACCCCATACCTGCATGCAAGATAAAGAATTAAACATGAAAATTCAGTCCCTGTAGGAACAGTCACCTGTTTGTGCAAGACTGCCTACAGAGAAAGATCAGTTGGGGGTTGAAGATTCTAGACACAACACACACATAGTGATGAATGGATTTCAGCTTTCTCTGTAGAATGAGCTTAACATACCATACTTTACTTTATCAGGTTTTGATTTGACATTAATATTATCCTAATTCAGTACATGAAGAATAATAGATACACTGCTAAATTTTCTTGGGTTTTTGATGCTTATTAAAGAACAGATCTACAGTCCGTGGGAGTTCACCAATAATGATTTGTATATACAGCTCCTCTCTAAGAACCTCTAGATTTCTTTTCTGTCCTTCTAGAAATGTCTGACAAAGAATTTCAGAACAATTTGAGGTGTGTATTTTCTAAATTGCATTGAGTTTTCTTGGGGTGTTTTTTTTTTTTTTTATCTTCTCCATCTTCAGTTCACTTCCAGAGGCTTTCAGACAAAGTTCTTTGGTTACAGAAGGAACAAACTTAAGGGGGGAGAGGAGGATGCAATTATAATCCTGGGCTGTGATTCTACATCACTTTTCTTAGTGCTAAGTCAGCTTCAGATCCTCCATTTCCTCACTTGACTCATGTTCCCTCACAGGGCTTTGTCCCCTCTGTTATACATATTTGACTGTTAGTGCAGCTGTGCTCTGAACAACATCTGTGAAATGATCCAGCACAAGAGCCTCCCAAATGAAAGTGCCCTTTGGCAGGTGATGTAAACCTTTGTTCTGGTTTAGATTGTAATGGTTGTATATGTTTGAACTGACATAACTCTGGGTATAATGATGTCTGTCTGAAGAGTTTTAAGGCTTTATAACTGAGTTTTCTGCCAAGGGGTCAGTGATGTAGAGCTCCAACTTCTAGTCTTTTTGCAGGATGAGATATGTAGCTAGATAACTTTTTTAGATGCTTGCACTGGCAGTACTATATTTAGTTAATATTCTCCATGTATCACCAGATAACTCTCCATGTAACTCTAATTATATAAATTTATGAAGTGTCAGTTTGTCAAAGCCAAAACTTCATGCTCAGTATCTTACCTGGGAGGCAGGAGACTTGTGCTAACCCCCCTGGGGTTTACTGGCTGTTTTGAGGTGGGTCTCTTTCTCACTGTTGTACAGGGAAACTGGAAAACAATATTGTTTTGTCACGGTATTAAACAGAGAAAAGTTTTAGATTTGAGGGTTTTTGTTAAATGGGAAACCTCCCATGACAAATTTCTTTCTTCTCTCTTCCATTGCTGTGAAAACCAAATGGGATGATTAAAATAAAACCCACTGTAATTAAGTTAGTTCAGTTGTTTTAAGAAGGAATTTATGTATTTTTCAGCTATACTTGCAGCATTTGTATATTCCAACTTTAAAAGAATGTCAGTTCAAAATAGGGAGGATATTTGACCATCTTGTTTTTCTTATCTGTTCAATAATGACTTGCATCTCCTGCTTTTTTCCCCCCAGTTATTTGTAGTAGATGTCCAGACTGGTCAAATTACCAAGATTCCTATTCTGAAAGATCGTGAACCCGGCATGGTGAACCAGCAGGGATGTGGTATTCATGCCATTGAGCTCAACCCCTCAAGGACCCTTCTGGCCACAGGTGGAGACAACCCCAACAGTCTTGCAATTTATCGTCTGCCTACACTTGATCCTGTCTGTGTGGGAGATGTAAGTGGGAGTATTTGGGGGAAGTTTATTCTGTCACTTACTACTTTGAAATGTGTAAGGTCAGAGCAAGGTTAAGATTTGGGAGTCTTTTAGTGGAGAGTGAATTTCTGAAAGCTTGAAAACATTCCTGATTAAGTTGTCATTTTTTGACAAGGTATCTTAAATATGAGTGAGTACATAAACATGTGAGAGGATTCTCAGGGTTCTGAGTCAGATTTCTTCTTCCTCACCCTCATTCAGGTCTACTTCAGATTACTTTTAAGTGTTGAAAATTGAACAATCTTAACTGTTAAAGTCTAATTGTGATGACCTCTGAAACTAGTTTTAGTGAAAAAACTCTTTTGAGAAATTGAAAATATGATACAGTTGTTCAAATTTCCCCTTCTTCAGTGTAGCTTATGTATGTATTATTCCAGAGGCAGAACTTGGCTTTGAGGATTAGTTCTAACCGAGTGGCTTATGGTAGTTTGATAGACTCTGGTACTGCTTATATTTCTGAAATATCACGAGGCCTCTTTAAAATATCCGGGCTTAAAAAGAGAAAGGCTGAAATGAGTATAGTGCTGTTCTATAAGCACTTCTCTTGCATTTCTCCTTTTTGTTTCAGGACTTCATATAGGTGTTAACTACAACAGCAGAGGTCAGGTCAGGGTTTTTGCAGTAGCAGATAACCAGCTGGAGAAAGGTTTGACTCTGAAGATTTGTTTGGCTTGTTATTCATTTGTGTGCTGCTGTGACTTTGCAGCCTTTCAAACCGAACTAGAGCCGCATGGTCTTTTTTCTCCACAGGTTCCTTGCCTGCTAAAGAAAAGATTCTTGAAGTAATAGTCTTGAAAAATTAATCTGTAGGTCATATATCATAAACATAATGTTTTGGTTACTTTTTATAGTAGGGATGTGCATTTAAGGAAACAGAAGTACGTAGCTACTTTACAGAAGTAAAGACCGCTGCTTTTAAAACGGAAAATCTAAGTTCTTAGAATCGAGATCAATTTGTTCTTGATCAGAGACCTGTTTTTCCATCACCTAATTTCTCCCTATTAATTACACACTTCAAAATAATAATAATAAAAAAAAAAGTTAAGATTACTGTTAGGTACTTAAACTGTTCCAGCTTGATACTGGAACCTTTGTTTTTAACATAGGTCTGTCCTTCTGAGGTTGTACTAAAAAAAAAAAAAATAATCAAAGGGGAGAATACTTGTCTGGTTTGAGACAACTCTAGAATATAATGGCACAGAAAAAGCTGTCTTTTTTTTCTTTTAGGATGGACATAAGGACTGGATATTTTCAATTGCATGGATCAGTGATACTATGGCTGTTTCTGGTAAAGTCAATTTTTAATTTTTTTCCCCAGAATTTTATACTGATGTAAAGCACTTGATAGGTCTTAGGGAAGGAACTTTATCAAGGCATTTGAAACCACTTATAACTATTTTGCCTATTTAAACCATTCTTGGTCTTAGTGCAGTGCTTTGCTTTGTTTTATTTCTAAGGCCCTCATCTAGATATTTTTTTTTTTTACTAATATTAGAGGGCAAAATACTGTCTTTACAGTAGGTGTTGCCATGAGAAGGTGTCTAAACACAGTGAGTTAAAGGGAAGGATTCCACACAAGAAGAATTTCAAGAGGGGTGTTGGTTATCAGTTAATAACTTTGGAATACAGCAGAGCAGTATCAGTTTCCTGAAATCCTATGAAAGACTGATTAATGAAAACTCAGCTTGTTTTATCAAGATATCAGTAAAGTCGCATGTGTGCGTGTATATATATGCACACATACTATTGTAGTTAATATAGAAGGCTGTAATAAAAAAGGTCAGTTACTGACTTTTTAGTAACTAGGTGGATAATCAGTGTAACTTATTAAAATATTACTTAACTTCGGTAAAGGCAGCAATACTAATATGCTGTTGCATTAATATAGTAGTTTACTGTCTGTGCTGACAGCGTGTAGTATTCCATACAGGGAGATGTCAAACTGCAGGTGACAAAAAAATTGTAAGTCTCATATAAAAATCAAATGCTTGAATTCTTAGTTCTGTAATATTTTTTTCAAAAAACAAAAAGGTAATCCTGGAGTTTGATTTTTAATTTAATATAGAAATTGATCCTTGCAACTCTCCAACCCAAATATCTCCATTAAAAAAAAAAACAAAACAAAAGTTACATTGTGTA